GGCGGGGAGGGGCGGGGCCGGCGGCCACACGCTCCGCCCCGTCCCCCGCGGCGCCCTCGGGCCGTGCGCGCAGCCGCAGAGAGTGCAGCGTGCCAGCCCCTCCCCGCCCCGCAGGAGGCTCTGCCCCGCTCCAGACCCCTCCTCGTCCTCGCTTGTAGGTTTTCTTCTTCAGGCACAATTTGTATTGGTTTCTACATCCCCTGTACTTTCCATCCTTCCCATCAGAGTGTGACCCCCCCCGAGAGGCCCGGAGCTGGCGTGGCGCCCCCTTCGCGGACTGGATGCAGGCGTTGATCATGCACCCCGACCGGGTGCGGGGCAGGGCGCACAGCTCGGTCCCGGCAGGCCCCAGGTGTAAGGAGAGGTGGAACGTGTCAGCGGGCCCTGTCCATTGAGAGAAACCCGCGTTCTAGGCGGAGAGCAGATTTGTACAAAGGCCCAGAAGCAAGAAGGACCAGGTCTGCCAAAAGAAAAGGAAAAGGCTGCTTAGCTGGGAAACAGCACCCTGGGGCGGGCGGGTCACACGAGGCTTAGTGAACCAGATGAGAAGGCTGCGGTTCCTGCTGAGGCCCGGGCAGGACAGTCGCAAAGCTGGGGGCTGTGATCCAGGCTTTGAAGTCATCTTGGGGCTGATGGCCAGCCTGGATTGTGGGAGGGTTAGAGACAGAGGAGGACAGACCCAGGAGGCCTGCGGAGGGGACAGGGACGAGCCCCCCCCCCCCCGTTGGGCACTGGCTCCGCCCTTCATGGGGCAGAAGAGGAGGAAGTACAGTTGGAGAAGAGATCACTCGAGTTCAGGCTACCCTCTGGGAAATCCACAGAGCGGATTGGTACCACCCAGGAGGTGTTCGGCTGTGAGGGGTAAGCCATCGGAAGCTGTCCAGGGGTCCCCTCCCCTTCCAAAGGGCTGCTGCTGGAGACTGCTGGTCGCCAGTGGGCCGACCTGCCTGCCAGCCTGCCAGTCACAAGCTCCGCCCTGGGCCATGCTGACCAGGTTAGGACAAGCCTAGCACCCCCAGAGGCCACGAGGTAGCATCTGGCATGGGTATAAGGCCAGGGGGTGGCCTCACAGCCAGGACAGGCCTGAGAACCCAGGTGTATCAGGCTATGTACGCCACACTGGGCTGCGGGGCACTAGCCACATGTGGCTATTTACACTTAAATCCCAATTAGAAATCAATTTCCAGTTCCTCAGTCACACTAGCCACACCTCACGTGCTCAGGAGCCGCATGTGGCTTGACAGCTACCACGCTGGGCAGCACAAATACAGAACCTTCCACCCTTTGATGTTCTGCCACGCAGAACAGTGATTGATCCGGGGTAATGAGCACCCACAATGTACTGGACACCCGAGCAGCCCCCGAGCCAGTGGGATGCTGCCATTCTGGAGATGAAGCCCTGGCACGGCTCGGAAGGCCCAGGTATCTCTCTCCACAGCTTACCAGAGAGCCAGGGCTCACACCTGGACCATGGGATTGCCCAGTCCAACCCACTGAGGGTTAGCTCTCCTGGGAGGCTGAGGCAGGAAGAGTGCCAAGAGTTCAAGGCCAGCATGAACTACATAGCAAGACCCTACATCAAAACAAATAGAAAAAAGCCACAGGCAGAATGTGAATACAAGTAACACTGAGACAGAAGCTGTGACTGCATAGAGGGACACCTGCTTTTTTTTTTTCTGGGCCATAGTTTAATAATAATATATCAGTATTCATTCAGTATGGCAAATATCTCCAGTAACGTAAGATGTTAATAATGGGGGAAAGTAGGTTTGCGGTACCTCTCTGTGCCATCTTTTCTGTAAATTGAAAACTATTAGAAATAATGTATTTAAAAGAAAGTACTGTATTAGACTTGATAAGAATTGTATTATGTTCTCCCAGACACCATGGCACATGCCCAGCATTCAGGAGGCTGAGGTAGGAGAAATGCTCCAAGTTCAAGGCCAGCCTGGGCTACCCAGTGAGACCCTGGCTCAAAAAACCAAAAGAAGGGCTGGGGATTTAGCTCAGTGGCACCTTGCCTGCCTTGCAAGTGCAAGGTCCTGAGTTCGATCCCCAGTACCAGAAAAAAAAGAAAAAAAAAATTGTATCATATCCTGAAAGCAGAGAAGCCTAACTGTGGCCCAAATTTTCTTTGATGTGTGAAGAGAGCCTTTTGTCCCCTTCTTAAAGGGGACACAGCACCTGGGAGGGCTGAGCCCGCCTCCCAGGGAAAAGCCGTCCCCTCAGGTGGCCCTTGGCTGAATGAGTCAGGCTGTGAATCATGTCTCAAGCCGCTGCACCCTGAGTTCACCCCACCTCCAGGGCATAGGAAGGTGGCAGTAATAACACTGTTCGCATCCACCCTAATCCTTCTCCGTGGCAGGCCAGTGGGAGGTGCGAGGCTGTCATAGAACCGCTTGCTGCTGTTTTCCCCTGGACCGGATGATGATTGGTCCTGGCTGCTGGGCTCGTTGCCAACTGCCTCACACCTTTCCAAACCCTCCCCCCCCACCATCAACAGGGTAAACTGTCCAGGCCCTGTGAAATCAAACAGGGAAGAAAGCAATACAGAATGTTAAGGGAGTAGGAAAGCAAACACCCTGAGAAGCAGTTAACTGCACATGTGATAAAACTGCAGAGAGCTACATACACGCAGGAGTGTGAGATGAAAGATCCGCACCCGACAGGTGGACCGTGCCAGTGTTGATGCCCTGGCTGTGACGTTGTATAGGAAAGGGTCCCTGTGATCTCTCTGTCCTGCTCCTTACGACTGCACGTGAATGCCCAATGACCTCGATCCAAATTTCAGTTGGAAAAAATAATTTAGCAGGGTGTGGTGGCCATACCTGTAATCTGAGCTACTGGAGAGTTTGAGGCAGGAGGATCACAAATTTTAGGTCAGCCTGCAGAACTCAGAGACCCTGTCTGAAAAATCAAATTGAGAGCAGGATGTGGTGCCACATACCTGTACCCCTAACACTTGGGAAGCTGAGCCAGGAGGATCACCTGGGTGGCCAAGTCAGGGCCTCGGGCCAACCTGGCCTACATAGTGAGTTTAAGGTCAGCCGGAACTGCAGAGTAAGAGCCTGCCTCAAAAAAAAAAAATTAAAAACAAAATAAAATTGACAGGCCTGGGGTTGTAGCTCAGTGGTAGAGCGCCTTGGGCTCAGTACAAAAACAGCCCTTGGGGCAGCCAAGGTTTGTCACAAGTGCTAATCTCCCCTTTCAGACCCCGAACACCCTCCTGCTGCCATTCAGCACCACCCAGGGAGCAAGAGTTTGAGGCTTGCCTCCCATTCCCGCATGCTGGCCACCTTGGCGAAGGCACCTAACTCTCTGAGCTCAGTTTCTGCATCTAGCAGGTGGGTATGGCAGGACCAACTTTTGAGTGCTGTTGGGGATGCTTCCTACATAAAGGGCCTAGCCCCAGCCAGGAGCCCCTGCTTCTCCAGCCCTCTGGTTGCTCCTTGCCAAACTTTGTCCCAAGTTCTCAGGCACCGCTTCGTGTAACTTTCGGAACCGGCTCCTGCACTGCACCTACACACCCCTCCCCCCAGCCCCGGGGCCCCTCTTCCACCTGCCTGCAGACTTCCTGTCAGCCGGGGGTCCGCACACCAGGGAGAGGACTTCAGAAGTGCAGGCTATTCTACATCCCCGCTGGGGCCTTCCTGGGGTGGCTGGCTGCTGGCTTCCGGCCCCTCCCCCAGGCCGGCCAGCTGCAGGCTATAAACAAGCCAGCACCTGGAGGCTACTTAGGGACATTTTGGCACGGACGTAACTTGGAGGGCAAGGGCTGCTCTGACCTCCAATCTCCAGGGATCAGTCTTCCAGCCCTCCCCTCCGTCCCTCCACCCACTCAGTTCCAAAGGTCGGGGCTATTAACATCAGCGCTGACTTAGGATGTCCTGGGGTCAGGCAATGCAGGAACCGGCAGGCTGGTCCTCTCTCCAGCGCTCAGGGCGGAGTCCCAGCCCCGGGCTGGCACTGGCTGCAGAGACAGCTCAGCAGGACCATGCCCAGCCCTGCCAGTCCCCAGACCTGCACCCTGAAGGCCTCTCTGCCCTGAGAGGGGCCCCAGGGCTGGAATGTCAGACCCTACTGACACAGTCTGTCTGCATTGTTATTATTGTCATGGTTTTTGTTTTTTAGACTAGGGCTCACTCGTTTAGGTTGGTCTTTTTTTTTAGTACACGTTTGCTGTACATGAAGTTTATATTCATTTTAGAGAGTAGGTAAATGTATGTAAGACATCTTAATTCTTTTTAAATTAGTCTTGAACTCACTGTGTACCCCACACTGGCCTCAAACTCACTGCGATCCTCCTGCCTCAGCCTCCCAAGCACTGGGATCACAGGCCTGCACCACCAGGCCTGCCTACGTTGTTTTTTCAGTTCCAGGAATGAACCCTCATGCCTGAAATAGCAGCACACCTCAGAATCAGCACACAGGCCTGTCTTGCTCTGTCTTGCTCACATGCGGGACCCAGGCAAGGCTCCCAAGCAGCCTCTTCCCATCCCCAGCCCAGGTCCCGCCCCACAAACCAGCCTGGAGCCCCCCCATGACCCCGATGTTGGGGCTTCATGTGTGTGGGACCACGCCCTGTCCAATCCTCGGCCACTGCTCTTGACCCCAGAAGTGGACACCTCACAGGAAGCCCTCCTCCCTTCAAGCTGGTCCCCAGCTGGGCTCCCCATGTGGGCCTCGAGGCTGAGCCAGTCAGATTCTCCTTCCTGGGAACAGCCAGAAAGCCTGGATGGTGGGGCCCTGAGTTTCAGGCCTGCGACCTGGGCCTTTGCTGGTTCCTGCCCACCCAGGCTCAGCTGGGGTTTCTGTACTCCAAACAGAATTTTTTGTTTTCTCCCCCTCTCAGATTGAACCCAGGGTCTTCACACTGAGCTACAGCCCTAGCCACCCCCCCCACACACACTGTTTTTTGAGACAGGCAGGGTCTCACTAATTTGCCAGATCTGAGTTCAAATTTAAGATCCTCCTGCCTCAGCCTCAGAGTGCTGGGATTACAGGTGTGCACCACCACCCCTGGCTGCCCTCAGTTCAGTTCATCTTTCTGGGCCCTCTCAGTATACATTAACCAACCAGCTCTGGTTTTGTTGCTTGCCTTCAATACAAACTTACAACAACCCGGATCTCAAACAAGGACTTGGATCTCAAAGTTGAATCAGCAATAAAGGACTTTTTAAAATTTTACCGAATACAGTATACTTGCAGTTCAGAGTTCCCAGCCTCAGTCGTTCTGGGATTTTTCCTTAGAACCTAACTAATAATTGTTCCCAATTTTCCAGAAACCACAAATATTCTCCGAAATTTCAGGGGGTTTGCAAGTAGCCAATCCAAGAGCGTTATTCAGTTCTCTTCGCTGCTGATTGGCTGCTGCACTGTAACCTGTCTCTGTCAAATGCACCAGCGTTCCACATAATAACAGGCCGCTGTACCGTGTGCAGCTGTCTCCAGTGTACTCGGTTTTGTTCTTCTTTAAAGCCCTAAGATCCCTAAGATGCCATCAAAACGCCCTGCATCTTCTAAAGTTTTATTAGTACAGTATTTTATTAAATTACATAACAGCAGGAGACATCACATAAACTATAAAAATAGGCACCTGTAGCCATTTTTCTGACTATATCTGAAATTTGTGATTTTTCACAATTTGTGGGTACTCTAGGAATATAACTCCTGCGAATTTCGGGGATCTATTGTATTTTTATTTTATTATTTTTGTTTTTTGTTTGTTTGTTTGAGACAGGGTCTCGCTCTGTACCTCAGGCTGATCTTGAATTCACTATGTAGCCCAGGCTGGCCTTGAACTCATGGCGATGCTCCTGCCTCAGCCTCCCGAGCGTGTGCCACCATCCCCAGCTAATAAAGGCTTCTTGCCTCTACATGCTCTCCGCTCAGTGTATCTCAGGAGATCCCTAGGGACCTTGGAGCTAGGACTAGTTGGTAATTAGAACCCGCCCCCCTGCCCCTGCCCCATGTTTCTGGAGAAGCAGCTTAGGTGGACCAGGGCCCCTGGAAAGACCCCGGACACCCTGGGCCCCACCGAGAAGCATCTTGACTTCAGGGCGTCTATGGAAGGCTGGCCCTTCTTCCCGCCACTGCCCCACTCCCCAAGCTCTGGACTCTAGAGATGGCAGCTTCTACATTCGGGGACATCAGCTCAGAATCTCCAGCCAATCAACCAGACTCCTGACCAGATACAGGGACAGCAGGGTGTGGGGGCCACGCCTGTAATCCCAGCTCTCAGGAAGTTGAGGCGGGAGGATCACTGCAAATTGGAGGCCAGTCTGGGCTACATAGTGACTTCAAGGCCAGCCTGCACTACATAGGGAGACCCTGTCTCAAAAAAAACAAAAGAACGGCTGGGGATTTAGCTCATTGGCACCGCGCCTGCCTTACAATCAGTCCTCGAGAAGGTCCTGAGTGGGGCCGCGGATTTAGCTCAGTGGTTCCACTGCCTGGCTCGAAAGCAAAAGGTCCTGAGTTTGATCCTCGGTACCAAAAAAAAAAAACACTACAGATGCAGGGACACACTTTATTTCTGGAAGGAAGACTCATATTTCCACAGCTGGCAAGATTCTGGGGCTCGCTCGGACCTGGGGAACCATACAGGCCTGGCGGGGCTTTGAGGCAACTTGTCACTCATCAGGGGCAGGCTCCTCTTCATCTCTCTGCCCTTCTTCACCCACATCTTTCAGATTTTGGCGTGCAAACTCCTCAAAAACCAAATTTTCATCCTGTAAACTGAAAAAAAAAAAAAAAAAGAAAGAAAACAGGCAACATTTTGGTCAGTACACGCTCTTTGTTTTGTTTTGGTTTTGATTTTAGTTGAGACAGGATCTCACTATGCAAAGCAGGCTAGCCTTGAACTCACTATGTAGCCAAGGCTGGCCTCGAACTGAGGGTCACCCTCCTGCCTCGGCCTCCCACATGCTGGAAGTATAGGCGTGCACCACCATACCTAGCTGAACATGATCCTTGAAACCAAGAATATCTTTTTTTTTTTTTTTTTGGTACCAGGGATCAAACTCAGGACATTGCACTTTGAGGCAGGTGATGGAACCACTGAGCTAAATCCCTGGCCCTAAGAATATCTTTTTTTTTTTTTTCTAAGAATACCTTGAGTAAAACAAAACCCCTGATCTTTTTGCAGCAAAGGAACCAATCATTCTGGTTTCCCCAGAATGGAACGATGGACCACGGGATTTTCCTTTGAACACTCTTTACTAAACAAAAATAAGAGCAAAGGCAATCAGTCATCCACAGAGTGGGAGATGCAGCCAGCAGGACCATGTGTGTGCAGGCACCTAAGTCCTCAGGAGCAGAGGGACACAAGGGACACAAGGGAGGGGTTTGTGTAGGAGCAGGGTCACAGGACAGGGAACTCAGAGAGACACTGAGCGGCTTACCTGTCCTTTGCTGAAAGCAGAATGACGGAGCAAGGGAGAGAGCATGGGAGAGAGACAGGTGGGTCAGTGTCAGGTCTGGTGGCAGCACCTGAACTCTGTCCCCGAGCAGACTGGTCTGAGAGGGCAGAAACCATCGCTGTTTTCTCCCCTGGGTGTGGGGGTGGAACCCAGGGCCATACGCATGGCAGACGAGAGCTCTGCCCCTGAGCCACACTTCACCTCCAGCAACTCGACTGCTACAGACACTGTCCCCTCTAGGACCCTTCCCACCACCGTCCTCTCAGCTGACCTCCTCTTTTCAAAGTATTTCTCCCTCAGTGTCCTGTGCTCTCAGCGGACAGGGACAACCGGGAGCTCCTGTTCCCCAGCACCCCGGGCAGGGTGTGCACTAAATAAAGCTCAAGGACCACGCCTGACCCCTCAATTTTCAGTTTCTGTTCACGAGTTGACCTTTGGGGGCGGGTTATGTTTTCACGTGTCCGCATCCCCAGGTGAATTATTCTCAATTTGGGTGTTTTGTTCTTTTTTAGCGTCCTGCCCACCTGGTGAAGTTCTGGTGTGGCTAAAGAGCTCCAGAGGGTCTGAGGGGTCTTCCTGTGCCTCTGCTTTTGTGTCCCTGGCTCCCTGCAAGCCACCACAGGACAGGGTGCCGTGAGGGCACAGGGCAACCTCCCCTGGCAAGAAAGGCCCTGCAGCCCCAGCTGGATCCCACCCCGAGGCAGTGTAGACAGCAGGGAGATGCACAGCACCCCTGATTCCGGAGAGATGATCTGCAGGGGACCCTACAGCTCTGCTGGCGTTTTCACAGATCCCTCAAGCAGGCAGGGAAGGTGGGAGACATGAGATCAGGTCATTCATAAATCTCAGGAGATCAGAGTTCTGCGACCCCAGAAGGCTTTGCCCTAACTCTCGCTCCCTGAAATCTCAGGACAAAAGATCACTGAGTCATCCTGACACCGTGAGAGGCCCACTGCCAGGGCCTGATGCTTCAGGGTTAAAAATGTCAGAAGTGGACCAGAAAAACTCCACCTCTCCCCAATGAAGTCACGAAGTCCGTCTAAAGTCCAAACACTGCCCACCATGGACCGTGACGTCCCCTCAGGTGACTGTCTTCCTCTGTCCTTGGAGGCGATCAGAAAGCACCACAGAGTTAGAAGCTGTATTTTGGTGTATTCGAAGATGGCTTGAATCTGGTTTTCCTGGACTGCAGCCCTAATTAGTCCCAAAGAGATCTCTAAAAACAGGATTTTGATGCTTGGAACATAAATGAACCAAAAATGGATGACTACACTTTCTTTTCCCCCCCAGGGGAAGCTTTCAGCAAAGTAAATTGAGGATTTGAGTCCAAAATATTTACAAAGATGCTCGGAGACACAACCTAAAATGAATATGGGGCCTTGTTCCAATATTTAAATGACATCTCATCATCAACAGAAAAAGCCACTTATAAAGTATGAGAAAAATAAGCCCTGAAGGTTTATACCACTTTTACTTAAAATATTCTTTATTACATAACTGTAGAGAGGTCAAATTCAGATGGGTCCATTTTCCTTTCTTGTCAAGCAGCCTGCTTTAATATACCATGGAGAATTTTTCCTCAGAAATTAGATTTCATCTATTTAATTTCTGCCAGTTCATTTACCTTTTTGTTTGGTAATGGGGATCAAAAATGGGGGGGGGGGGTCCACCATTGAGCTATACTTCCAGCTTTTTATTTTTTGTATTTGTTTTTGTTCCTTTTTTTTTTTTTGGTACTGGAGATCAAACTCGGGACCTTGCACTTGTGAGGCAGGCGGCAGCACCACTGAGCTAAATCCCTGGCCCTGTGTTTTGTTTTTTGAGACAGGCAGGTAGTCGTGCAAGCTTTGTAGTGCAGGCTGGCCTTAAACTCACTGTGATTCTCCTGCCTCACCCTCCCAAGTCCTGGGATTCCGGGTGGGCACCGCCGCACCTGGCGCTCTGTATTTCTGATCTCGAGACAGGTTCTTACCAAATTTTCCAAGCTGGCCTGGAATTTAAGATCCTCTTCCCTCAGCCTCCTTCCTGCTGGGGTCAGGGATGTGCGCTATCGTGCCCAGCCCAAGTCATTTCTCTCAGTGATAGTGTTTTTAGGATGCTTGCAGAGCTGTGTAACTAGTGCTTCATTTAACACCCACCCAAAAACCCGTGCCTTTATAATTCAGACAAGCTGAGCTGTTAGGAGCCTGACTTACCCCTCTTTTCTAGTATTTTTCTTTTCTTTTGGCGGAACCTGGGACCGAACTCAGGACCTTGCACTTGCCAGGCAGACCCTGGGCCACTGAGCTAAATCTCCAGCCCTATTTTCTTTTTCTTTTTTTTTTTGGTACCGGGGATCAAACTCAGGACCTTGCACTTGCGAAGCAGGCGGCGGAACCACTGAGCTATCCAGCCCTATTTTCTGTATTCTTACCACAACTGCCACTTTGAAAATAGTTCTCATCTTCTAAGTGCTACTATTAATCCTTCCAAATGAAATATGAGGGTTTCTTTTTTTTCCCAAATGAAATACAACAGCCTCAGGGTTTCAAATTTATTTGTCACCTAAATCATCTTTAAATCTATATCCAAATCACTGGCAGCAGAACTTCTGCTTAGAAATCACTCCCGATAACCCTCCTGAGGTTGTCCCTCCCCAAGAGCAACCTAGCTGTGTCCCTCCACCCTGACCACAGGGATGCGGACGAGCTGAGGGCCCAACAGGTCACCCTGTGCGTGACACTGGCTAGGGGGCTTCGACACTGAGGTGCAGTCAAGAAAGACCAGGAATAAAAATGACATAAATCTGCTGGGGTGACCGGCCAGGGACAGCCCAGACCATGGCACAACTGACCTGGGTCCTCCGGTTGGGGGTGCATGAGGCGGAAGGGAACCTCCGTAGCCACTTCGCTGGAAGCAAAGGATGCAGACTCGTGAGCGCACACACACACACATGCACACACGCAACCACAAGTCACCCAGCAGAAAGCTGTGACTACAGACTTGCAAAACATCCCGAGGCTCAGCCCAGGCACAGGCTAAAAGACAATTTAGTGGGATTCAAAACACAAACAAACAAAACAGAAATCAGGAAGTGGTCTAGTAAGAATTTGAAATGCATTCCTTGGAATGCGGTCCAGGAACTTCCCTTTGGCCTGGCTGAGGCCAGTCCTTTTAGGTTTTAGGTTTCCCGTATCCCTGGTGACTAGTTGTGGCAACTCGATGATGTGGGAAGAAAAGAGGTAAAATTCCAGAGGAAGGAGAGTTTTTAAAAATATTCTTTGCAGGTGACTGTGGTGTGCAAACCTGTGATCCCAGCACTCAGAGGGCTGAGGCAGGAGGATCACTGCAAGTTCAAGGCCTATCTAGGCTACATGGTAAGTGCAAGGCCGCCCTGAACTACATAATGAGACCCTGGAGAGGGAGAGAGAGAGAGAGAGAGAGAGAGAGAGAGAGAGAGAGGGAGAGAGGGAGAGAGGGAGAGACTGACTGACTCTAAGGGAGCTGGGTGTTGAGAATGGGCTGGTCTTCTGTTGCCAAAGAGCAGAGAGGAGAGGAACAGAGCAAGGGCTTTGGAGTGACTTGGAATTATGCAAAAAGAAGGAAGGAGAGCAGAAAGGAAATCTGGAGAAAGGATGAATGGAAAGGTGACTGAGGAGGAGAGAAAAAGAGAAGCCACTCCTTGGATGCCAGGACCCCCTACCTGTACCCCAGGCAGACCTCTGGGCCAAGCACACCTGTTCCCAAAGCCCCAGGTGACGAGGGGTCTTCAAGAACAGGTGCAGGTGGGGCCGGGGATTTAGCTCAGTGGTTCCGCCACCTGCCTCACAAGCACAAGGACCCGAATTCAATCCCTGGTACCAAAAAAAAAAAACAAAAACAAAAAAACAGGTATAGGACTGGGGATTTAGCTCAGTGGTTCTGCTGCCTGCTTCAAAAGCACAAGGTCCTGAGTTCAATCCCCGGTACCAAAAAAAGAACAGGTGTAACCTGGTGTCCCGGTGAGGGATGCAGGTAAGCACTGGAGCAAAGGATGTCAGGTCAAATCTTGTCTCAAACATTTTGTTTGTTTGTTTTTGTATTGAGACAGGATCTTCCTAGGTAGCCCAGGCTGGCCTTGAACTTGTGGTGATCCTCCTGCCTCAGCCTCCTGAGTTCTGGGATTACAGGTGTATGTTGTCTCAAATATTTCTGAACTTGTTGCTTCATTGGGCATTATTTAAAAGACAGATGTCACTATTCATAATTGTCAAAAGGTGGGAACAACCCAAGTGTCCACCAACAGATGAATAGATTAACAAAATGTGCAGGCCGGGGATTTAGCTCAGTGGTTCCAGCACCTGCCTCGAAAGTGGTAGGATCTGAGTTCGATCCCTGGTACCAAAAAAAAAAAAGTGTTCTATTCCCATAGTGGAATATTACTCGGCCACGAAAAAGGAATGAGGTACTGTAATAGTACATGACACGATGTGGATGAACCTTAAAAACATTATGTTAAGTGAAAAAGCCCATCACAAAAGAAGCCATGTATCATAGATTTCCATTTATAGGCAATGTCCACAATAGGCAAATCCATGAGAGAGAAAGTAGAATAGTGGTTGCCAGGGCTGCAGGCAGGAGAAATGATTCAATCATATCATAGGTGCCAGGTTTGCTTTCCAGGTGTTAAAAATGTTCTGAGTCAAAGTAGTGGTGGTTGTATGACATTGGAAATATACTTAATGCCACTGAGTGGTGTACTTTGAAAGACTAAAATGGTATAATTCATATTTGTGTGTTGCACCATACACACAAAAGACAGCTGTGTGGAGCGTGCAACATGCTGTGTGTGTGTGTGTGTGTGTGTGTGTGAGATCACTGGGCAAGCACGCTGTGACACACCCAGAGGCAGCGGGCACCATCATCGCACCTCTGCCTGGACACCAGCTTTCCCTAGTTGCCATTAGGACCCCGGGCTTGCTGGCCTGGTGCCCTGGGAATCGGACAGGGGAGGAGAAGGACAGACTTACCTGGAGGTGAGCTCTCCCAGAAAGCTAGGAAACAAAAGACAGCTGTGAGGAGGTCCACACCCACAGCCTGGCTCTGCCCCAGGGTCCAGGGCGGGCACCACCCTGTTCTCAGTTCCCTGGTGCTGACCCACAACTTCCTGCACCTTGCAGCCTTGCTACCCACTCCGCCTCCTCTCTGCCGTACTTCATCGCTTCTCCAGAGGATCCCTTGGGCTGGAGCACAAGCCCCAGAATTGGAATTTCTCAGCTTCAGAGGCCACCGGGAGGAGTGTGATAGTTGTCCTGTCCCTTGCTATCTGCAGGGGGCGTGGGGGGTGTGTGTCCCCAAATCCACAGGTGCTGCCTGTGGAGTTTTTAGCTGGTGTAGTATTTGTTTGTTTTGTTTTTGGTACCCGGGATCAGACTTAGGACCTTGCACTTGCGAGGTAAGTGGCAGCACCGCTGAGCTAAATCCCCGGCCCCACAGCTGGTGTAGTATTTGCATGTCACTGTCATGCACCGACACAAATGCTCTAAATCATTTTCTGAATGATTTACAATGTCTAATACAAGTAAACGCTATGCAAATCGCTGTGAGGCTGTATTGTTCAGGTAATGAGCAAGGGAAAACCCTTGCTTAGTACACACTTTTTCCAGTATTTTTGGTCTGCGGCTGGCTGAAACTGTGCATGTGGAACCCAAAGATATTGAAGGCCACCTCTCTTGTCTGCTCAGTGAATCTCCACTGTTATTTTTTGACCCTCACAGGGAAAAAGGAAGAAAGCATTACCCACTTTGAAAAACATGGCAAACACTGCTAACAAAATTTCCAAAACTTTAGTGGTTCTGGTGCCTGCCTCATAAGCGCAAGGTCCTGAGTTTGATCCCTGTACCAAAGGAAAAAAAAAAAGAGAGAGAAAGAGAGAGATCCCCAAGTGCTGGGATCACAGGCGTGCACCACCACACCTGGCTCCAAAATCTTCAGTGGTTCCACATCTGCCTCAAAAGCGCAAGGACCTGAGTTCAATCCCCAGTACCAAAAAAAAAAATAAAACCACATCAAAATTTCCAAAACTGACCCATGTTCTTTTTGCCCCAAGCAAAACTGGGGGAGCTCTTTATCTACATAGAGACGTGGGACATGGGACGAGTGCCCAGGCCTGCCGCTGATGGCCCAACCGACCAAGACTCACGGAGGTGAAAGGCCAGAGCCTTCAGCAATGGACTTTGAAAGAAAAATGAGAACTTGTATTTTTTCCTTCCAATGAGATGAAAGAAATGGAAGAAGTTGGTTTCACTAAATAACAGAACGCTTGTTTCCTCAGAACTCTGAAATGTGGCCACTCCTGAATGAAAAGCCGCCCCCCAGCATGTGGTTACAAGGTGGGGCGGGAGGAAAGCTCCTCCTTCCTGGGTAGATGCCTTCTACCTCACACATAATTGAGAATTTTCCGGGAGTTCCTTAGGCAGCCATTACTCCCTTCCGAGGTACAGTGTATCACGAAACTGACTTTTATTGTTGCTCATCAGCTTCCCCGAGTGTGCCCATGCGCCCCCGTTTTGGGCGTGCCTCTTATAGCTGACCGTCCCTGGCAGACGCAGGGAAGCGGACAGACAGAATGCCCGGGGGAGAGGGACAGCGCAGGCCGCTGAAGGCCAGCTGGAGCAGCCCGACCGTTGGCACACTTACCCTGACACTGTGAGCTTCACCTTGATCTGGTAAGACACCAGGATGCCCAGGATGGTGCGGTCTATGCCCTCCTTGATGCTGCCCAGTGGAAAGGAAGAGAAGTGTGAGGGCCACTGAGGGAAGCAGGGCCCACGAAGGGACCATTTCCTCTCGGGCGCTGGTGAGCTCAGTCCCGGCACTCTCACCCTGGCGTGTGAAGGGGGGGCCTGCCATGTGCGGGGATTCCTTCATCTGCCCCCGCAGCAGGCCACACAGGGCAGAGCGCGCCTCCTGCTTCACCGGTCACGTGACCGAGCACCCCACAAGCTCTCACCCTGCCGTCTTCCTGGACAGGGGAGTTGCTGGTGAGGGGACTTTGCTCGGCCCCTAACGGATGGGGGACCCTGGACAGGCTCCTCCTTGCGGCCCATCTTATGGACGATTTCCTTACCCACAAAAAGCCTCCTCCAAAAGTGCGGAGCGGTGTATGTGCCCAGGAACTGCTCCGCAAACCCGCACATGCGTTTGCAACGCGGCTGCCGCTGCTGGCATCACGCTTGTCACACCCTGACGTGGCTCTGGGTATCAGTCTCCCTGTTTGTCTCTCCCTGGAGCGTCACGAACGTGCTTTAGAGCCTAGCACGGCTCAAGAGTTGTCCTCAGCCAACCTCTGACCGCCACCTGCTTTCTGCACGGATTCTCTGCCCCCCACGGTTGGTCTTGCGGGTGTAAGCAACGGAGCTTCGGCTCTCGGGCCACCTTGGAGGCGGCGTGCCAGGTGCAGGGGCCCCAGCGCGTCCCGTGGCGGGAGGGCAGCCGTGGGCCTCGAGCCCAACCTCGGCTCCTGCCCAAACCTCAGAGTGCCCGATGGCAGCAGCCCAGGAGCAGAAGCCTAACAGTGCCGGGGGTGGCAGTGGGTGTTGACTCTGGCACTTCCTAGCTCTGGAGTCTAAAGCCAGGACCCCAGGCACCCGCAGCCATTCTTCACCTTCCCCGGCAGAATGAACGAACGCCCAAGTGCAGGCGACCCTTTGCTCTGCACGCCTGCTGCGTGTCAGGCACCATGCTTCCCACGGGCTGTCTCCGCTCCTTGAGGTTGGCCCTGTTACCACCCTACTTTACAGCTGGGAAATGGGGGTGCTTAGGGAGCTCAGGCATCTGCGCAGGGGGTGTGTTCCGAGCCCGCCGATGTAACCAACTCACGGTGTGGGGTGGGAAAGGGAGGCTTCTGGGGCCCCCAGTACCTGCCCATCATGTGGTCTGCAAGTCGCAGGACTGGGGGACTCACATGGTGCTGGAGGCGAGGTTGGTGTCCTCATGCTTGATCTTCCCGTCCAAGGCAATGCCTCTCCTTTCTCGGTTGTTCGCCAGCAAAGGCACCAGCGTCAGCGTCTTGGTCACAGTGCTATTAGGCGGCACTTTTTCTCTGCAGGAAGAACAGGGAGACGAGTTACGGCCACCAGGCCACATCACCCCCACAGGCCCTCTCAGACATGAGCGCTTTCCTGGACCAAAGTTCTGCTGTCAGTGACCCTCGGAGCAGGCTGGCAGCGACACCAGGATGGTTCCTCTACCCCTCACCCGGCCTGCTGTGAGTCGTGGAATTTCTAGAATGTTCGGTAGGGCTAAGGAGGACCAACTGGCTCAGAGACCTGGCCGGTCTGCTGCTGAGGCTTTGTGGCCCCATAGCAGCAGCAGAGCCTTTGGGTTAGTGCCAGCCACAGTCCAGGAGGAAGGTCCTGGATGCCAAATACTGTCCCTACAAAGCGGGGAGCACGTGACCAATGGGTGGGTGAGCAGGGGGAAGCAGGGCTTCGTTTGTGAGCCATACTCTGGGTCTAGGTTCAAGCAGCACACTCTTCTCTACCGGGTCTTCTTGGTCATCATCTGGGCTGTGGGCTTCCCAACATGACAGGAACCCCACGCCACGGGGTGAGCCTGGGGTGCAAGGCAGGACCTCGAAGCAGCTGGCTCCCCTGTGCTCCGCCACCCTGATACCCACGCCCAAGCCCACAGCCTGCTGCAGAGCCCATGCCCTGGCACACAGCCGCATCCCCAACCCCAGAGGAAGGCAGGGTGTGGCCCAGGACCACTTCCTGAGCGCGATCTCTGACGGTCTGCTGAAATCTTCCCACGGGACAGACTCCCCTGTTTCGTCTGCCCAGGGAGTTTAAAGCAGCTGCGGCTTATCCTGCCTCGGGTGGATACAGGAAGTGCGTTACAGAACTGGCCACATCCTCCCACCTGGGCCTTGTGTTATCTCGATAATGAGCTTGATTCAGGCAGAGGCAATGACAGAAGCAGACACTGCAATGGAAAGGCGACTGTAGTAGGAAGGTGGCACAGGGCTGGGCTTGGATGCTGGCCTTTCCTGCAGCAGAGCTTGCCAAAGGACAGGGCCAAGGCCCTGGGGCCACTTCCCAGGGCTTCCTCCTGACCTCAGGGATCTCAAAATGCTTTCCAGTCTGCTGAAAGTCACTCCTGTTATTAAGCATCTGCCAAAAGGCCAGCCAGGCCCAGAACCCCCTGGTCCCAAGAATGGTAAGGGTGTGCCCAACATGTGGACAGACCCCAGGCCTGGCACAAATAAGTCAGCCAACAAGTTGTGGGTGTTTCCCTACACTGCAGACCTATATTTAAACTTAAGGCTGAATTTGTTTTGAGTAATAGTTTATCATCAAGTTGCCTTTTTTTATTATTATTATTTTATTTTCAGTACTGGGATTGAACTCAGGACCTTGCACTTGCGAGCCAGCCACAGTGCCACTGAGCTACATCCCCAGCCCAAGTTGCCTTTTAAATATTACCTAATGTCATCTTTGTGAATCCACTCTCTTTCGTCATCGGCAACCCCTCTCCCCATGCCAACCTTCGGCTGACCCTGGTGATGTTTTTACCCACACGGTGCTCAGCACATGCAGCTAGCTACGTGGGAAAGCGGCTCCTGCTCCTGGGGTGGGGCACAACACTCCTCCTCCGGCTAATGAACCTCTGATTTCCCAGCACAAAGCGAGGCCCGGCAGGACTCCTCTGCCTGCATGAAGGAGCCGCTGCAGGAATCTCATTTGGTTTTGATTCTACAAAAGGGACAAAAGTCACACACAGCAACAGGCTAAGAATGGAGATGGCTCCCTAGTCCCTGGTACACAATTTTCAAACTGAAGGGAAGATCATAAACAGGTGCCCCAGCCTGGCCATCTGCTGGGGGACAGAAAGAGGACCCGTTCTTGACCACTCATTCCAAGGACACACAGAAAGGCTGGCTGTTCCCACAGGGCCTTTCCACCCTGTCCTCTCCTCATCTGTTATTGCGGATGGATCTAAACTCCTGTGAGGCTGAGCGAGGCCAACACAGCTAAAATGCTGACTTTCCTTGCAGCCCTTGAGCGAGAAAAGGGGAAGGAAGTGAAAGCTGGGGTCAGGCCGAGCACTCTAGTTCCTTCTTGGCATGAATGAAAGAGGAAGCTGACTTTGAAGGCTGCCAGCCCCGAAAATGAAAACGCAGCCGCTACTCACTGTGCTTCCTCCATGGCCACTGGCTTGGTGTAATAATCGCTGGAGTAGAGAACCACGTTGGCCACCTGTTCCACTGCAGAGGGAGGAAGAGTCAGGTGAGCACAGGACCTTGAGCGAAGGGTGGTCCCTCCCCGCCTTCTGGGAACACAGCAGGGCTGTTCTTGCTGGCGACCACTGTAGTCTACTTCGGGCTCTCTCAACCCCCAGCTTGAAGACTGCAATTTCCAAGTTCTCTTTCTGGGCCCTTTGTCTTCACCTGTAACCTGACAACTGTGCCAACTCCTACCCATGAACAGCCGCTAGGATGACAGCTCCTGAGAGCTGGCGATCTTCAAAGGCAGGGTCTTCCAGGCTCCCAGCACTGACCATCTCTCTCCACACCCGGCCCCTCCGGCAGCCCTTGTCTATTTAATGAGCGCTCCCCGTCCTCCCTCCAAGCTTTCGAGAAACTGACTAGAAGCAGGCAGGATTGATTGTGGTGTAACGCAGTGGTGGGAGGGGGCCCCTGAACCTGGCTCCCTAGGCTCAAATCTCTGCTTAGCTATTAACTGTGGGTGAATTATTTAGTTCCTTTAAGCTTCAGTTTCCATACCCTTAAAATAGTGGTGATTATTGCATCTAATCCACAGAGAAGTTGTGAGGATTAAAAAGATGACTTAGTCTCCTTTAAAATCAAATTCAAAGATGAAAAGAAATAATTTGAAGCACTGGGCCCAGAGCTCAGGCTATAGAAACCTATTACCATTTTGTTTTAGAAAATGTAACAGCTTCTTTCAAGCTTAATGGCTTCACTGTTAGGATGGACTCATAAAACTGTGAGAAATGGAAATAACGACACTTTATTGACCCTGGCCCGGAAGCCTCCTGTGTTTGGAAGGAGAGTGGATTATGGGGCTGAATATCTGGCTGCTGTTAGGAGGCGGGGCCTGATGGGAAGAGGCGTCGCTGTGGGCGTGGCCTAGAAGGGCTCCTCTCCCGCCCCAGCTCCTCCCTTCTCTCTGCTTCCTGTCCACCATGCCGGGAGAAGCTCTCCTCCGCCAGGCCCCTCTGCCACGCTGTTTCTTCTTTGGAGCTGACCAACTATGGGCTGAAACGTGCTCCAAAATAAACTTCTCCTCCTTGAAGTTGTAGGTGCCAGGTATTGTGTCCCAGAGACAAGAAAGTGACTAAGACACTGATACACAACAAAATTGCAAATTAGGAATTCATATTAGAATTTTCATAACAAGAAAGTTCTCAAATTCTTTACATTAATGCATGCACCAAAACTCCTGAACTTCATCTATGATGGACACACAGGGAAAGAGGGAAATGATGTATAACACTGCACTTCATTTTTTGTTGCTGTAGGTGAATCCCACAGACAGGGAGCTACGAAGAATAGAGGTTTATTTTGTTTAGCTCATGGCTCTGGAGGCTGGGGAGGGCTGCCGTGCTCGTCGTGCTGGGTCACAACATGGCAGAGGCATCACATGGAAATCAGAGCAAGGGTGCTCATTCAGGTCTCTCTTTTTCTTAAAAACCACTAATGTAGTCCTGGGGCTCTACCCTCATGACCCCATCTAACCCTAATTAATTCCTACAAGTCCCACCTCCAAATATCACTAACATTCGGATTTGAAGACTGGGTCTCTAACATATGAACTTGTAGGGGACACATTCAAGCCATAGCAGATAATTAGGGTGACCAGCCAACCTGGCTTATGGGGACACACCCTGTGTTACCACTGAAATTCCCACACTTTTTCCTGGGCAAGCTGGAGCAGTTAACCACCCTGTGACACTAAAAATCCACTTCTGCACTGGTCATTGAATGTTTGGGTTAGGAGTTGAGCTTAGGGCTAGGGATGTAGCAGCAGTAGAGTCCTTGCCTAGCATGTATAAGGTCCTGGTTTGATACCCAACATTGCAAAAAACCCTGAACTTAGAGGTTACCCTCCCAGGTCGATCCACCCTGTCTATTTATGCAGCCCATGACCTCCACTTTGATGGCTCTTGAGCCGCGGCACACAACAGGGTCTCATCCACACAACAGGCCTCATCCAGTGAGAGAGCCCTTCACCACTTATAAAGCATTTCCACGTGGGACCTCTCCTCGAGCCCACAAAGCCTGGGAGGGGTGTTAAGGAGCCACTGCTGTGGATGACACTTGGGATTCAGGGGCTTAGCACAAACCCATAAATTAAGCCCTGTGTTTTCAATCCAGTGCCTTTCCCAGGACACTAGCTGCATGTGTCAACAAAAATTATAACTGATCCACAAAGCAAAGCTCCTCCCTCGGCTTCCTGCAAGATCTGGGGCAACCCATCCCCACTGGGAAGGCAGAGCCATGGGGAGATGGGAAGATCATTATAAGGGGGATACTGCTCCAAGACAAAAGACAGCCCTGCATGGGGGGCACGGCAGTGAATGAGATGACAAGTTTTGCAGCACAGGGATTGAACCCAGGGTCTCCTGCATGCCAGGCGAGCATTCTACCATTGAGCCACACCCCTGACGCCCCCTGTTTTTGAGACATGGTTTCACTAAATTGCCCAGGCTGACCTTGAATTTGTGCTCATCCTCCCTTGGCCTCCTAAGTAGCTAGAATTCTAGGCCTGTGCTACCTCGCCTGGCTGGGGCATCTGTTAAAGTCAATCTCCCTCTAAGGTCCAGCTCCCTATGACAACAGAGGCAAACAAACTGTTCCAAGGACCCGGAAGGGCCTTATCAGAGCGGACCAACCAGGCCCAGACATCTAGAGCATGCTGCCCTCTAGTTCTGAGAAGTTCATACCTAATACTTTAATCTTCTTCACTGTCTTCTCCGTGTTATTGGTCACAGTCACGGTGACAGGGATGGGTTCCCCATGGAAAAATATCTGAAAGAGTGAGAGATAAGTCAGCAAAGCAGAAGAGAGTGTCCCTGCATCTTTAGTCTCAGGGCTTTCTAGAGCCGTGTGAATCCCTTTCACTGAAGAGATGTGGCTGAATTCCCCTACTTTTAAGAAAAAAAAAAAAATGCTCGCACTGTTTCCCACAGAGAAGGGCCTGCAACACATTCCGCCATTTCTGTAGGAGGCTGAGAAGGATACTGGGGTTCCGAGCATCACAGAAGAGGAAGGTGGGATGTTTTCCATAGAATCCTGAGGTTTTGGGGCAAAATGAGTGAAAGGCAAGGAAATCACTGGGGAGACGGCTGGTGGGCTCTCCCTGGCATCCCCAAGTGGGTACATGTGTAAGCCTGCACACATGCATGTGCACACTCTATGTGAGGCTCTTGCCAACAAACGGGCATGACTGTTGGTGGCCAGAGGGGCCCGAAAAAGCCTGGGCCAGTGGCTCTTCTCCCTTCTCCACAATGACACTTTTAATTGGTGACATCACACAAGACAGCCATCTTGCATAGTTTCTGGGAAACTGAAATTTCCCAGGGAAGTAAATAATTGGGGTTTTTTGGGGGGGTTCTGCTACTGGGAATGGAATCTAGGGCTTCACACCTGCCAGGCAAGGTCTCTACTACTGAGCTACATCCCCACTCCTTTCTATTTATTTATTTTTTGTGGGGGGCGGTACCAGGGATTGAACTTGGGACCTTCCTCTTGCAAGCCAGGCGCGGCACCACTGAGCTAAATCCCTGGCCATCTCCTTTTTATTTTTTGACACAGGTTCTTGCTAAGTTGCCCAAGCTGGCCTCAAACTTCTGATCCTCCTGCTTCAGCCTCCCAAGTACTGTAGCTGGGATCATGAGCAAGTGGCGCTGGCCCCAAATCGTTAAGCCAGACCTTGTACCTAGAGCTTAGGGAACGAGGCCCGTGGGGACAGAGAAGGCAAAGCTAGCGGGAGGGGAGGCCAGTGGGCAACATACCGAGCTGGCCAGGCTGCCCTACTCCAACACCCAGGGTGACCAGTCCCAGGCCTTCGGACAAAGCCAGCCATTCACAAACACTGCGGGTTCCACTGTCCGGCCCTGCACCTAACCCGAGGCCAGTGATGTTTGTACCTCTTTGCTGAGGGAGACGGTGAGGTGCAGGGGCTTGTCCGACATGAAGAACTGCCAGGCGGCCTCAGAGCATGGCTGGGGCCCCATCTCGGGCGGGGCGTGCTGCACCTTCCGGATCAGCAGCCGCACGGAGCTCCTGCAGGAGACGTCAGGCTGGTGCCCCTGCAGTGCTCCAGGGCCCCAGGGAGGAACCCCCGAGGACCTGGATTCTGGCCCTTCCACTGCTGCCACGGCTGGGTGGGGTGCTGGGGTGCGCTCCCGCAAGGGTCCCTTTCACCCTGTCAGGCTCCCACTCGGCCTCCTCCGTGAAGCCATGAGTGGTGCCAGGTGCCTTTTGTGACAGGCTGTAGAGCTCTGTGTAAAGGCGACCCCTGTGACTGCGCCTCTCAGAAGCACCAAGAAATGAGCCTGCCCAGTGTGTGGAGGGGTGGGAAGGGCTGGGGTGGGGGGAATCTGGTTTGGGCACAAAAAGAAAAGTGAGGGCCAGGTGTGGTGGCACATGCCTGGAATCCCAGTACTCAGGAGGCTGAGGCGGGAGGATGCCATGAGTTCGAGGCCAGCCTGGACTACATAGCAAGATCCTGTCTCCAACAACCAAAAACCACATACACACACACACACACACACACACACGGTGAGCATGGGGTGTCGCTGAGAGCAAATGGCTACAGAGTATCTGTATGGGGTAATGGAAAAGTTTTGAGGATAGATATTGGTGATGGTTGCACAACATTGTGAACGTGCTTGATGCTACTGAGTTGTACGGTTAAAATGGTGAACTTCAGGAGACAAAAAAGATGAAGATGTGTTATACACATGTATCAACTCCCCACAATGAATGTAATCATCACCATGTACTGCAAACAGGTACTGATAAAAATAATAATAAAATAGAAAATTAAAAAGGGGAAGTCAGGCATGGATGTGCACACCTGGAATCTCAGCCCTCTGGGGAGCTGAGACAGGAAGATTATAAGTTTGAGCCCAGCTTGGACAACCCAACAACTTAGCTAAGTCTCAAAATTTAAAATAAAAAATGGGGGCAGGAGGAGAGGATGTAGCTCAGTGGAAAGGCCCTGAATTCAATCTCCAGCACCCCAAAAAGAAGAGAGACGAAAGAAGAAGGGGTTGGGGAACCTCAGGAGCTGCCATCATTTCCTTTCTCTTTTCCCCCAGGGAGCAACCCCTTGCCCTCACCGCACACAGGCGTGACCACCCCAGCGCCAGCTCTCTGGGGACACTGTCCCCCGAAGCCAGGCAGGCAGCTTCTCCTCCTCACACCTATACGCCAGCCCTGGCCGGGTCCCCCCACTGCACTCTTACTTCTTGGGGATTTTGTCCTCTTCCCAATCGGGGTTGTCCGTGGCGAATGCTTTGACCTCGAAGTCGACCCCGCAGCTCTGTGGGAGACAGGAGAGCAACAGGCGGCACTCAGCTTCCCGGGGAGGGGAGCCATGGGCAGCAGCTCAGCCACAGCCTTTCTAGGAGGTCCAGCAGGACCCGATTTATCAGGAGGTGGTGGGGGGATTGAGGGGTTTTTGTTTGTCTTGGTTTTTTGGAAATGGGTCCTGCTATGTAGTTCAGGCTGGCCTCGACCCTGCAGTGACCCTCCTGGAGTGCCGGGATTGCAGTGTGTTGTCCTTAAAGCCGACCCTGCACGTGTCCCCGATGTCCCACTGCCTACTGTGGGGGCTGGGGGGAACATGGGACAGATAGACGCAGGTGTCAGGCGGGGGTGGCCCATAAGGCCGTGCTGGGCCGTGAAGCCCTGACCTCAAAGCCAAGCACAGCCAGGGAGCAACAGCCAGTTAGGAGAAACTAGAAATGGAATTTGGAGTAAAATCTCCATATTTAAAAAAACCTTTATAGCAGGTGTGGGTTGAGCAAGAGCATCAGGCACCCCGGTCAGCTGCAGCCCAGGTGTGACTTCCGGGCCCTCCCTCGCTCGCTTGCCTCCACCCAGCTGGGTCTACATCGTCAACACCACCCCAGGCCAGCGCAGCCACAAAGACCCAGGGCCAGTGTCCATGAAGACAGCAAGCCACCAACTTCCAGGTCCTTCAACAGTGGATTCACAGAAACTCTAAAGTCCAGGTGGAAAATAAACACATTTTCTTTGATAAGAACCTACTTTTTTTTTTTTGGTACCGGGAATTGGACTTGGGACCTTGTACTTGCAAGGCAGGCAGTGGAACCACTGAGCTAAATCCCCGGCCCAAGAAGCTACTTTTAAAAGTCCATTGAAGCTGGGTGTGGTGGTGCACACCTGTAATCCCAGCACTCAGGAGGCTGAGGCAGGAGGATAAATGCAGATTCGAGGCCAGCCTGGACTACATAGTGAGACCCTGTCTCAAAAAACACCAAAAAAACCCATTGGAAGAACACAGGAATGAAGGAATCTATGATGTTTCTTCTTGAACTAACCTTTCCTGAGTCTTGTGGAGCTGGCTGCAACATCACGGAACAGGGCAGGTAGTCAGGGAACTGCGGAAGGAAATAAAGAGAAAACAACTTCTCTCAGACTGTAATATGTAATCATCACATGAAATGGGAAAAGAAGAGGAACAAGAAACAAGAAGACAAACAATTCACCTACGCTCTGGAGACCCGGACGAGAAGGTCTTTAACCACTGTGTCTGTGTGCACAGACATTGAGGGTGAGTGTGTACACCAGTGCACGTGTGTCACAGAAATGGGGCCAAGTGATGAACCTGTCCTCTGCTCCGGTTTACTCGCTTCATTAACCCAACCTGATTTAGAAAGATTATGACTTTTCTTTTCGAGGCAGGGTCTCACTATGGAGTCCAGGCTGGCCTTGACCTTGCTGCAATCCTCCTGCCTCAGCCTCCCAAGTGCTGGGGCTACAGCCATGCGCCACCATGCCTGGCTCCTACTCTTTCACATTGTGAAAGTTCTGTGCCACTACTTTTAGGGCTTCGACAAGACACAGTGAATGTAGCTGGCCCCTTTCCTTTTGTGGCCTTGCAATGGTCTTCACTTTTTTGTCATTACAAACAATGCCACAATAAATATCCTTCTTCATTTTTTCAGGTTCTGATACATGTTGATGTGTTGTCATCAAGAAACTGTCACTTCATGAGCCGGGGATTTAGCTCAGTGGTTTCGCTGCCTGCTGCGCAAGCACAAGGACCTGAGTTCGATCCCCAGTACCAAAAAAGAAAAAAAGAAGTATAAGAAACTGTCACTTCAAACCGCCAGCACAAGTGCATGGCAGCGCTCGGGAGCAAGTAACATTTTTTCACAAAATTGTAAAATAGAATAATATAAAATTTAACATTTCATCTCTTAAATGTACAGTTCATTGGTATTAAATACACTCTGCAGTGATCTCCACCATCCAGCTCCAGAAGTTTTTCATGGTCCCAAACAGAAGCGCCAGTCACTACACCTCAACCTCCCTGGCACGGTGGCCACGCCTATAATCCTGGCACTTGGGAGGCTGAAGCGGGAGGATCATTGCCAGTTTGAAGCCAGAGCTGGGCTACATGATGAGTTCAACGTCAGCCTGAACTACACAGCGAGACCTTGCCTCAAAAAAAAAAAAAAAGAAGAAGAATGCACGACCCTTCCCCTTACGGAGCAGACATACGCCCGTGACGTCAGCTGCCCGTGGCGTGAGCTGCCTATGATGGCCTATGATGTCTCACTTCCCGGCCGCCCGAGCGCTTGAGGCTGGCATTCCAGACAGTCAGGTTTCCTGGGTGAGAGGCGCGGCTGGAGAAGGGATGGAGCCATGGCGACCCAGCCGTGGGGCAGGCTGGGTGACGCCTCCTTCCACCAGATCTCCGTCCCGCAAACTCCCGGGCCACCGAGGGGCAATTCTGCCGGTTTCTTTTTATAGCTGGGCCAGCGGCACAAGCTCATCTAATTAGGCGGTGAGCAGAAGGGAAATATCTAAACGGCAGCTTGAAATGATGCCTTCAAAGGCAGATGGCTATTTCAAGGACTTAAAAAAAGACAATCACAGAGCAAGCCATCTAGAATTTCCTGCAAGGGCGCAATTTTCAGGCCCGCGGACCCTGAGTCCTCGCTCTCCCGCCCTGCGCCCGGCCGCTCACCGTGAGCAGAAAGGGGTACGTGTGGGCGCCCAGCTTCTTCAGCAGGCTCTCCTGCAGCCGCGTGGGAGCGCTGGCGGCCCCCACGGGCGGGTACACCTGCACCCGCGAGAAGTACAGGTCGCGGCGGAAGCTCAGGCCGATGACGTCGATGTCTTCCTGTCCGTAGCGGAAGGCGCAGGTCAGAGTGACGAACACTGCAGAGAAGAGGGGGCCAGGTCAGCCTGGGCGCCCTGCCCCGATGAGCAGGCAGGGGTGACCATGCCAGGGTCGCCCAGATGTCCGGGCTTCCGCGTCTGGAAGGGGAGGGATCTGGGAGACCCTACCATGAGGGGCGATTTTAAAACTACAGTGAATGTATCATATACATTCATCAATACAAGAAAGATTCTAAGTTGTATTACAGTAAAAGCACATTGCTGTGAACCCCCCTCAAAATGTCCCTTCTCACTTTGAACACAGCCTGCGTCTTGCCACTTTCTGAGGCAGCTCTGGAAGTCCTCTTTCATGAGCGTGTTTAGTTGTGCTGTTGTGGCCGCCTGGATTTCTTGAGTGGATTCAAGATGTGGATCTTTCCTATTCATTTTGTCTTGGGGGAAGAGCCAGAAGTTGTACTGTGCCAGGCCCGGTGAATGTCGTGGATGAAGACAAACTGGCCACCACAGACACTGCTGTAAATGTTCTGAGTCGATTCAGGACATCGAAGCAGCCACGACAGTGCAACTGAAGTCACCCATGAAAGAGGACTTCAGAGCTGCTGCAGCAAGTGGCAAGAGTTACACAAATAAAAGCAAAGTCTTCAAGCTAGAGTTTCCTTGGACCACTTCTTTGCTATAAATATTGTAATGTACGTACCACATACAATTCCTCATTTAGCAACCAATTCAATTAACGACCCAGGCACAGGAATGGAACTGGGTCATTAAGCAAGGAGTGTTCGAGTTTGGAAAGGCACTGAGTCATACCTGAATCTGTTCGATTCACTTTACACAGCTGTCACTAGTAATGAATGAGCTGCCGCGCCAGCAAGGGAGATCTCAGGGCTTGGTGACCCGGGCTCAGATCCAAGGTGAGGGGTGGGTTGTGGGGTGGGTACCGACTCACCTTTCTTTCCCTTCACAAGCTCCGGATCCACAAGAACAACTCCATCTACACCAGAGGAAGGAGAGAAGAGTGAGGGCAACATCAGAGAACCCGGATGCCTTCTTTTTTTGGGGGGGAGAAGGGTGGTTCCACCACCTGCCTCACAAGGGCAAGGTCCCAAGTTCGATTCCTGGTACCAAAAAAAAACCCTTTTTACTCCAGACCCAGCATGGTGGCACACGCCTGTCATCCCATCCCAGCACTTGGGAGGCTGACAGAGGAGATTCACAGCAAGTTCAAGGCCAGCCTAAACTGTAAAGCAAGACCCTGTCTCAAAACAAAACACCATAAATAAAATTTTACTCCAAACTCCACTTACCCACGGGCTCTATCTTGCTGATGTGGTCGATATAGTCTCTCTTCCCCAGGTAGATGGTCACCTATGGGAAGAACAGGGCTGAATTCTAAATTGCTAAAGAACACTAAGCTAAATATTCATGTTAAAAAATAACAACTACTGGGCCGGGGATTTAGCTCAGTGGTTTCGCTGCCTGCTGTGCAAGCGCAAGGACCCGAGTTCGATCCCCAGTACCAAAAAACCCAAAAAAACAAAAGTAACAACTACCAAGCCAGGCATGGTGGTGCATACCTGTAATTCCAGGACTTGGGAGGCTGAGGCAGGAGGATCACCTCACAGTTGAGGCCAGCCTGGGCCACGTAGTGAGTTCAAGGTTGGCCTAAACTGAACTACATAGTAAGACTCTGTCTCAAAAACGAAATAAATAAGCTAACAACCAAATCTTTTTTTGGAGGTGGGGGTACTGGGGCTTGAACCCAAGGCCTTTGCACTGAGCTGCATCCCCGGCCCTTTTTTATTTTGAGACAGGGTCTCACTAAGTCCCTAAGTTGACCAGGATGGACTTGAACTTGTGATTCTCCTGCCTCAGCCTCCCAGAGTGCTGGGATCCAACCGGATGCCACCACAACCGGCATGGCAAGCCTCTTCTTTCTAGCTATAGACCGAAAGACCCCCTGGCCTTGTTCTAAGAATTCCTGGACTGAGTGAAGAGGTCAGAGTCTGGAACCCAGGAGCCGAGGGATGGAGGAGAAGGAAGAAACACCCATGGGCCGGGACAGCCATGGTCTCGCCCCTGGCAACACAGGTCTCTTTGCCTGCCCGCCCTGCAGAGAGCAAGGCTGCTCCTGCCAGTGCCCTTGTGGGGAGAGGCCAGGGTCATCTCCACATCTCGCATCCTCCGGGTATGGTGAGCGGAGGGACTCACCCAGTGCTCCCTAAGGGCACCAAAGAACAGGCGGGCGCACCCTAGCGTCCCTTCTCCCCAAACCACGCCAATGCGCACTTTTATTTCCTCGAATTCTCCAGAGCACTCGTGCTGGCATTAAATCGTGTTCTAACTGTCCGCCACGGCCCAGCAGAGTGGGTTCTTCTAGGTGATTTGCGTAACTGGTGCTGAAACTGACTCGAAGCCAATGCCTCTAGAACCCTGATTTACAGAAAAGATTCTGAAGGAACCTTGCAAATCCAGTGCGGAGCCCTCTGCAGGCCTCAACAGCCCGGCTGGCTAGGCACTCGAATCGGGGACACACGCTGTGAAGCCCCTGGGGGCGGAGTCGACTGAGTTGCCCTGGGGGCTCTCGGGCCTTCGGCTTCAGATGGGCCAGATGTGGGAAGGAGGGGAAGCAGGTGTTTGGCCCCTGCCTACTGGCCTGGCTGCCTGGCTTGCTCATCCCTCGTCCCTACAGCCCAGGGAGGTACCAGTGTCCAGCTGTGCCTGCTCCGCTGTGCTATGTGGAGCCCTTTCTCTCGTGACCTCCTTCATACCTGCCCACACCTTAGCAAACACTCCATCCTCATCTTCCTGGGACCCTAACACGCTGCTACCTGCTGACGAGGTCCAGTGGCTATTCACTCCCCCTAGGCTGACATTCATGGCCTTCTCTGAGGCCAAGCAGGCCCTTTATCCCTGGCTCCGGGCCACTGCAGAGCTCCCTCTCTACTGCCCCACCCCTACCCTGGGCCCTGGCCACAGCAGCCTCTGCGCCTGTTGCTTCTGCAGCAGACAAGGCCCTTCAGCCACATCTCCCCTGGGGACACCTTGTCCACACTTCTGAGCACACCTCGGCCTCCGTGCCCTTGCCTTGGCACACTCTGGCCTTTGGGTGCCTCAGGAGCACATGGGCTTCGACGACACTATCTCATTCCCTCGTCCCAGCTGTGTGAGACAAGAATTAACCCTATTTTATAGAGCCTCCTAGATTTAGATCATGTTAGCAGCAAAGTGGAGGCTGGAGTACCAAGAGGAAGCCTGGTAGGCAGCCTTTTTGTGGTTGGGAGGAGGGAGAGTTGGAGGGAAGGTAGGATGGAAGAAGGGAGGGAGAAGGGGGGTGTTTCCTTCTCTTTGGAGCTTTGGCTTTGAGGGGGGCCCCAAGAAGGTGGCAGGCCACAAGACCCAGGCAGTAAGTAATGGTGAGCTCAGATGGGAGCAGAGCACCCCTCTGTGGCACCTGAAGGAAGGGGAGGGGAGAGGGCAGGTCGGGGAAGAGTCGGCGATGAGAAAGCGCAGCAGGCAGCCCGGCCCACAGCCATTCTCTGGCCCTGGATAACCAGTGCCAGTCATGTTCTAGGTGTGCTAGGAGGTCAGCCCTGGGCAGATTCCTGATTCCCGACTGGTTTAGGTGGGCAGGTTACCGGTATCAACCAATGAAGAAAACAGGGAGGTGGGCTGGGGCCTCTGGGAAAGATTCCCCAATGCTTCACAGAGACCGCAGGAAGCCCCCCCGCTGGACGTCTCAAGTGTGGCATCTCCAGGTGAAGATGGAGAAGAAATCACAGAAGAGAGCAGAGTGGAGAGGATCACAGAGAAAGGGCTGCAGAAGCCTGCACGCCGTGCTCAGAGCACACAGAGTGTGCAGCTGAACTGATCCTAATATACGAGGCATTAATTGATGAATCCCCAGTGCAATGACCCGAGTTCGATCCCCGGTACCAAAAAAAAAAAAAATTGATGAATCCCCCTCACGAGGATCAACATAGAAAAAAAGCTATATGATTTCTTAGAGGATGTCTAAACTGGGCATGGTGGTGCACTCCTATAATCCCAGCATTTGGGAGGCTGAGGCAGGAGGACTGTCATGAGTTGGAGGCCAGCCTGGGCTACAGAGTGAGTTCAAGTCCAGCCTGAACTATATAGCAGGACCCTTTCTCAAAAAACGCAAAAACTAAAAAATTTTTAAAAGGATGTCTTTTTAGGTTTGGGTGTGGGGACTGTCGGAAGAGGGAGAATGACAGGGAAAAGTAGCACTCATTTTCTGCCAAAGTTGAGAGAAAATGCGGGCGGGCAGGAGAGACACAGTAGGGAAGGAGACTGGAGAATGGACGGAAGGGCACCCAAACTATCACCCCGCAGAATCAGAGCCTTCGATGAAAATGAGGATGTTGCCCCGCAGAAGACGAAAGGCCAGGCAGAGGGCATGCATGGCGCAGAAAGACCTAAGAGTTCCTGTCGGGCCGCCATGGGCTCAGCCGTCAGCCAGGGCACAAGCTAAAGACACACTGCCTGGCATGCTGGGGGCCAGACTGGCACTGCTGGGCACCCCGGGGACACACTCTGAAGGCAAGCACACCACACACGCACTCCAACCGCTCAGCAGAAGAAGCAAGTGGCGCTATGAATTTTTATAAGGTTTACAGTTTGAAATGAGGTTTTTGGATATACTGGGTTAAATAAAAGATAATATTAAAGTGCATCCCCCTTGTTTCTTCTTGCTTTTTCAATGTGGCGAATAGGAAGTTTGAAATGGCATATATTACTTGCACGGGATGTGCCAAGCTAGACTGTGGGCCCTGAAGAAGGCTTCAAGCGGAGCAAGGAGGCTTCGCCCACAGAGGCTGGGTGCCCAGCCCCTCGGTGAGCTCTGCCACGCCATGAAGCTCATGGGCACCCACAAGCCACCCAGCCGGCCACTCGCATCAGGTGTCAGTGAGAGAATGAGCCAGCAGGAGCAGCCAGCAGCCCAGAATCGTCAGATGGTAAAGGAGGAGAAACAAAAATGACACATCAGGAGACAGCTGAAGTTCTTGCCTCACCAAAAACATCCAAAGAATGTTTCTTTCTCTTTTTTTTTCTGGTACCGGGAGTCAAACTCAGGACCTTGTGTTTGCCAGGCAAGCAAGGCAGCCTTGAGCTACCTCGTGGCCCCTAAAGAATGTTTCTTTTTGTTTGTTTGTTTTTGGTACTGGGGATTGAACACAGGTCCTTGTGCTTGCACAGCAGGCAGCGAAACCACTGAGTTAAATCCCAGGCCCCGCTTTTTTTGTTTTTTGAGACAGGGACTCACTATGTAGTGCAGGCTGGCCTCGAACTTACAGTGATCCTCCTGCCTCAGTCTCATGAGTGGAGGATCCTTTACAAGCAAAGTTTCTGGTTTTTGACTAGAACTGGAGAGATCAGAAGTTGAGAAGAATGATGGACATTGCTGAGATAAGAAAGGAGGTTTCTAAACTTCTGGAACTGAGAGTACTCAGCCCATGCAAGTCAGAATCCTTGAAGCTGGGCCTTTTCTAATTCTAGATCCTAATGAAGATTCCAGTTTTCACAATAGAATTTGGATCTCATTTAATGACGCTGGCACCCTGCAAGCACTCAGTAAATCAGCTATTATTCTGGTATGTTCACTACATCACCAGATGGGAATGCTTGAAGGGGAATCTTTGAAAGATTCATGGTAGCTGTAAGACACAGTGTGGAGTGGTGGAACAGGAGCAGACTGGCCCTGTTCCCTTATCCAGTGGTCCTGAAGATGAGCCAAGGGGCGATACATGCTGCTGGGGTAGATCCAGGCAACATCTAGGCTTTTACCAGGCAGGGGCCGGATGGACAGAGGGCCAAGGAGGTCACCAGTATTGACAAAACAGGTCACGGGTTCAAGGGTGGCTAGGAAAAGAAGTAAAG